TTGGGGATTGTGAAGAGACCTCTGGTGGCATGTCTTGTGGGGTATGCATGGGTGTCCGAGCTGTGTGCTAGTAGTTTAAACAGACACCTCGGTGCATTCAGCATGTCAACACTTCTTACAAAAACAAGTAGTGATTAAGTCAATCTCTCCTCCACTTTGAGCCATTAGAGATTTACATGCACATTATTAATGTTAGCCCTCCATGTACATTTAAGGGCCAGCCATGCTGCCCTGTTCTGAGCCAATTGTAATCTTCCGAGGTCCCTCTTTGTGGCACCTGACCACACGACTGTCCAGGTGCGACAAAACTAGTCCAGGTGCGACAAAACTAGGGCCTGTAGGACCTGCCTTATTGATAGTGTTGTTAAGAAGGCAGAGCAGCACTTTATTATGGACGGACTTAGCTACTGTTGTATCAACATGTTTTGACCATGACAGTTTACAATCCAGAGTTACTCCAAGCAGTTTAGTCACCTCAAGTTGCTCAATTTCCACATTATTTATTACAAGATTTAGTTAAGGTTTAGGGTTTAATGAATGATTTGTCCCAAATACAATGTTTTTAGTTTTTGAAATATTTAGGACTAACTTATTCCTTGCCACCCATTCTGAAACTAAGTGCAGCTCTTTGTTAAGTGTTGCAGTAATTTCACTCGCTGTAGTAGCTGAAGTGTATAGTGTTGAGTCATTCGCACACTGTAAATAAACACACTGGCTTTTCAGAAAGTATTCACAACCCTTGACTTTTTCCACACTTTGTTGTGTTACAGCCTGAATTTAAAATGGATTAAATTGAGATTTTTCCTCACTGGCATACATACCAATATCCAATAATGTCAAAGTGGAATTATGTTTTTCAACATTTTTACAAATTACTTAAACATGAAAAGCTGAAATGTCTTGAGTCAATAAGTATTCAACCCCTTTGTTATGGCAAACCTAAATAAGTTCAGGAGTAAACATGTGCTTAACAAGTCACATAATAAGTTGCATGGATTCACTCTGTGCAATAATAGTGTTTAATATGATTTTTGAATGCCTACCTCATCTCTGTACTACACACTTACAAGTATCTACAGTATAAGGTCCCCTCAGTCAAGCAGTGAATTTCAAACACGAATTCAACCACAAAGACCAGGGAGGTTATATCCAATGCCTCCCAAAGAAGAGCACCTATTGGTAGAGGGGTAAAAAAAAAAGCAGACATTGAATATCCCTTTGAGCATGGTAAAGTTATTAATTACACTTTGGATGGTGTATCAATACACCCAGTCACTACAAAGATACAGGCGTCCTTCCTAACTCAGTTGCTAGAGAGGAAGGAAACCGCTCAGGGATTTCACGATGAGGCCAATGGTGACTTTAAAACAGTTACAAAGTTTAGTGGCTGTGATAGGACAAAACTGAGGATGGATCAACAACATTGTAGTTACTCCACAATCCCAACCTAATTGAAAGAGTGAAAAGAAGGAAGCCTGTACAGAATATAAATATTCCAAAACATCCATCCTGTTTGCAACAAGGCACTAAAGTAATACTGCAAAAAATGTGGCAAAGCAATTAACTTTTTGTCCTGAATACAAAGTGTCATGTTTGGGGCAAATCCAATACAACACATTACTGAGTACCACTCTCCATACATTCAAGCATAGTGGTGGCTGTTTATGTTATAGGTATGCTTGTAATCGTTAAGGACTGGGACGTTTTTCAGGATAAAAAAGAAACGGAATAGAGCTAAACACAGGCAAAATCCTAGAGGAAACCTGGTTCAGTCTGCTTTCCACCAGACACTGGGAGATGAATTCACCTTTCAGCAATAACCTAAAACACAAGGCCAAATCTACACTGGAGTTGCTTACCAAGAAGACAGTGAATGTTCTCCTGAGTGGCCGAGTTACAGTTTTGACTTAAATCAGCTTGAAAATCTCTGCCAACAATTTTTGCACAATCCAGTTGTGGAAAAGCTCTTAAAGACTTACTCAGAAAGACTCACAGCTGTAATCGCTCAGGAGGTTGAATACTTATATAATCAAGATATATTAGTGTTTTATCTTTCATCTATTTTTTTTTTATGTTAGAATTTTTTCCCTCACTTTGACATTACAGAGTACATTTTGTGTACATCGTTGCCAATTTTTTTTAATGTATCGCACTTTGTAACACAACAAATTGTGGAAAATGTCAAGGGGTGTGAATACTTTCTGAAGGCACTGAGTATAAACATTAGGAATACCGTTATAATATTGAGTTGCACCCCCCAGTTTTGCCCTCAGAACAGCCTCAATTCGTCGGGGCAAGGTATCGAAAGCATTCCACAGGGATGCTGGCCCATGTTGACTCCAATGCTTCCCACAGTTGTGTCAAGTTGGCTGGATGTCCTTTGGGTGGTGGACAGTGCCGATTTTAGCATGTAAATCTTGGTGGGGCAAACAAAACAAAAAATGTGGGATGCATGCCAGCAAAGCCATGACACAACACAACACTAAACAATACATTAATTGCACTATAACGGTGACAAACAGTGCCCACAAACTGTTAGGGCCTACATAAAGCTGTCCCAACAGCAGAGTCCCAACAGCAGTCCCAACATCTTACCACTGCTACACCTGGCTATCAGCGGAGCCTTGTCTGGCAGCGAAACAGTTCATTCAGCCTCATTTACTGCCTTTTTAAAAAACATAGCTGATATGGCTGACTTGCTTAAACAAATATGGTTTCTACTGACAATTGAGATGTACAAACTATGGCATAAGGGGACAACAAGCAGATTAGAGGCAATCCGTAATTTCGATTAAAACATCAATGAGCGAGCTAGAACGGACGTAGTCAATATAACTATTTGTTCAGCACTTTTGAAATGTACAGCGACAGAATTCAGAACATGGTCCGTTCTTACAGTGTTCTCCCCGTATACCAAGTCAGAACCTTAGGATAAATAAAGGGGGCATATAAGCAGACAATGAAAGCTCTTACAATATTCGACGATTACATTTCTCTAAAACAGGTTATTGGCTACATGTGCACCACCAAGTCAGAACAGTAGGCGAAATTAAGAGAAGAAAATAGACCAAATTATTAGGGTGAGGCACATGGGCTACTAACAGCTTACTACACAACATACACTTAGTATTACTTTCTTAGCTACAGTATATATATCTCCCTGGCATATTACATAATTTATGCAGCAGCATACAATACATTTTTGATGATGACTGCTAGCTCAGATTTTGAAAGTATGATGCAAAAAATTGGCCATGTTTGTATGCGGCTTTATCAACTCAATGATTTATTTATTATTTGGTACATTGTTTGCAAACTGATATGTGACACGTATGAATGCCAAAATAACATTCAATACAGGCAAGCTAAAAATGTGTGGCTCAAAACAGGTGGGGCTCTGCCCCACCTGCCCTGAGTGACGGGTCGCCACTGGTGGTGGACCATTCATGAAACACACGGGAATCTGTTGAGCGTGAAAAACCCAGCAGCATTGCAGTTCTTGACACAAACCGGTGCACCTGGCACCTACTACCATACCCTGTTCAAAGGCACTTACATATTTTGTCTATCCCATTCACCCTCTGAATGGCACACACACACAATCCATGTCTCAATTGTTTCAAGGCCTAAACTTCCTTCTTTAACATGTTTCCTCCCCTTCATCTACACTGATTTAAGTGGATTTAACAAGTGACATCAATAAGGGATCATAGCTTTCACCTGGTCAATCTATGTCATGGTGTTCTTAATGTTTTGTACACTCAGTGTACTGTATTGGTAGAATATTCTACAGCACCAGAGAGAGAGTAGCCAGTGCAACACACACACACACATATGTACTGCATACACACGCATGCGTGGCAAGCTCACACACAAATCTGACACACGCACACACACATACACACACACACCTTCTGACACACACATACCTGTTGCGTAATTATCACAGTTTCAAACCCAGAGAACCCACTACAGGGCCATTACCACATGTGTTTTTGATCCCCTGATTTCTAAAAGGAGATAGAGGCTATGTGCCTCTGAATTTTTCATCCTGCACACTCCTCTTTGTGTAACTACTGATAAATAAAACATAACTCCATAATCTATTTTTCTCCTTTGATATTTTCCTAGTGAACCGTGAGGTAAGAAGACGTTCAGTAACACTTTATTTGGATAGTCCATCTGTAGATGCTATACAGACTATCAGTAACATTTACTAACACTAACCCTAGCCCTAACCCTAACCTTATCCTAAACCTAAACTTAACCCTTACCCTAAACTTAACCCTTAACCATTATTCTAAACATAACCCTAACTTTAGCAAGTAGTTGCTTATCAACAGATAGTTTGTTGATAGTATGACCATCAGTAGAGCATCTACAGATGGACTATCTGGACTATCCAAATAAAGGATAAATTGGCTTTTACTGCAACGGGGTCAATGCAGATAGTCCGGGTAGATAATGATACAGCTTCTACCCCCAAGCCATAAGACTTCTAAATAGTTAGTTAAATAGTTAATCAACAGCATTATATTAAACAGTATCACCATGGGTGCCAAGGAATTTGTGCTGTGAGGGAAAACACCTGCTAGGCCTATATATGCAGTGCAAAAAAATGAAAATAAAAATCTGTCAAAAATCGCACTCTATATCAATATGAATTTTTCATAATTCAAGAAGGGTATGACTTTATTTTATTTTATTGTCCTTGAGACCTTCTGACTTGCTGTTGGGCTGTCTCCTGGTGAAATAGATTGGTTAATGCCTCCTCCTAGCTGTCAAATAGTAACATCACACATTGACCAATTTAATGCTGAGGACCAATGAAAATTCAGTGCGTATGCTGTACGTTTTCTTAGCGCGGGAAAGATAGATGTAGACAACTACAGAAGTGAACTACTGGGAAAGGCGAGACACACACCCCACGAAAGTCAGTTTCGAGACGTTTTTTTCCGCATAGTTTGTCATTTTATGTGGCTAATATCCTTCGAAGTGGTATGGATACAGAACGGAGTACTGACATTTGTGGCAATGTCCCGGATGTAACATTGTCAACACCAAAGGGGAAGGACTTCTCGACAGCTAAAGGGGCTCATAAAAGGTACGAAAATAGTGTTCCACAAAGTCACAAGTCTTGTTAACTGGACAGGTTCATAGCTACCTCTGTATCGCGGGGTGACACTTGTAATTGCTCCACATTCAAGCTACCTTTCTTTCATGCTGTTGTAGTTAGCGTCTATTCAATTGTTAGCTAGAAGGTTGTTGTGATACTTCATCCCTGCCGCTAGGTGGCGGTAGTGTAACGTTACTGAATATTGAGCTTGCCTCAGCAAAAATGTTACATGTTTGAAAACTCTGGTAACAGTAGTAGCACACCCGTCGCTATGGGCGGGCCATAGGGGGCCGGGCCCGCCCCAAAAAATGCTTGGTTAGGTTGAATAATCTAGTTTTATTTCGCATTTATCATATCATTCCCTTTCGAACACAACTTGAAATAACTTGGTGACAGCATCTTGAAAGTAATCTACCTGCCTTATCTCTAAGCCTAGATCTTTGATAACCTGGCCAGACTCTTATACACACTGAGATGTGGCATGTGATAATATTCCATATAGGTTATAGGTCAGTGATTTCATTGAATAGGATATCACAAATATCCTTCCTGTTTTCTCTTTGCCCCTTAGGACCCCATACTCAGGATACAAAAAAGTCCATTCCAGCTTCAAATCACCTGTAAGTCTAGTGATGTAAAATTAATTTTGCATATCACACAGACACGCACACACACCCCAAACATATTTTGGCATCATCATAGTCCATGTGTCTTTCCCCAGGTCCAGACCTCCAGTACTGGCACTGCCAAGCCTGAAGAGGAGATAGAGGAACTGAAGAAGAGACGGGCAAAGTTAGACTCAGAGATTACACTGTTGGAGAAAGAGTGCGTACAATGGGGAATAGAGTTGAATAGAGTCTAATAGTAGAATAGTTTAAATGTGATCATGGTCATTCATTCAGATGCCCTTCACTATGGCTATTCTACTAAATGGAATGAAAATATTTTACTTGTTGATTGTGTGTGTGTTATCTGATAGTGTTGTCCAATATTTGTAATAACATTAACACTTCGTAATTATACTTAAACCATACATTGGCAGTATAGATGAAACCATGTGTGTGGATTTCTACAGTGGGATCAGAGTTGATGAGTTGGAGCAGCACATTGACCTGCTACATGAGTACAACGACATCAAAGACATCGGACAGTCACTAGTAGGCAGGATAGGTAAGGCGCACACACACAGGCGTACACCATAAACAAACACACACACAGCTTTTCACATTCACTAACTACTCTGCCACAATCTAATCAGCTTTGGTGGTAGTAAAATATTTTCTTTCCATTCAGTAGAATAGCCATAGTGAAGGACATCTCACTGACTGACCATAGTCTAATTTCAAATAATTTAAACTCTATTCTACTTTAGTAATTCAAGTAATTTCAACTCTGTTCTACTTTAGTTATTCAAATCATTTCAACTCTATTCTACTTTAGTAATTCAAGTAATTTCAACTCTGTTCTACTTTAGTTATTCAAATCATTTCAACTCTATTCTACTTTAGTAATTCAAGTAATTTCAACTCTGTTCTACTTTAGTTATTCAAATCATTTCAACTCTATTCTACTTTTCTGAAAGTTCTATTGGTTCCATTAAGTCAGGCAAGCACAGATAAAGTATTTGAAATGATTTCAAACTGTTTTTGAATCAAGGTGTGTGTGTGTGTGTGTGTGTGTGTGTGTGTGTGTGTGTGTGTGTGTGTGTGTGTGTGTGTGTGTGTGTGTGTGTGTGTGTGTGTGTGTGTGTGTGTGTGTGTGTGTGTGTGTGTGTGTGTGTGTGTTGCGCAGCTGCCCTGAGAGGAGTGACCACACGAGACCTGTACAGCCAATTTGGGCTTGAGCTGGACGACTGACTGGACAGCTGGACGACTGACTGACTGTACGCTCTGCCCCCTCCAGAACAAGAAGGGGGGAAAAATAAAGTTATAAAGCTAGGTGCGTTCAGCTCATTGAACATTTTGCTAAGTTGCGTGACAGTTTGTACTGACCAACACGTTTCCCCCAAAAGGTGCACATCGTTCTTCAACAGTATTTTCTTTGGTGGGTGTTTGGCAAGGTATGGCCTAATCTATATGGGTATAACCATTTGAAATTCGCAAAACTCGTGTAGGCAGCACACCATACACAATCGCCCTCTGGGCCAACAACAAAACATTCTTAAAGTGGAAATTCAGAACAGTACAGAGTCTGTTGAATTAAACATTGCACATCGATCTCTCCTACTGAACATCCCCCTGGATTAGCATATGGCCTATGAATGTACAGCATATGAATGAAGGACTCAATATGAGGAAGTTAAGAGGCTTGTGGCTTGACTGATGCATTGGCAGTAGTCTGATGCTAGTTATAGCTAGGACCCAGAGTTTTTCCCGGTCAGGTCAAACTAGGACAAACTCTAGTCAGGGTTAAAATATGTACAATATGTCTATTTGAATATGCAAATTAATGTGTTATGTGCATGTAGAGATTTACACTGGCGTTTTATGAGGCACCTGCACCTGCTTTATGTCAGACTGACAGGGTCTTGAGAAAGTGTTGACAGAGAACTAAGAGAATGGATTAATCTTAACTTCAAAACGGAATCTACTTGCTCTCCTACATTGCACTCATATAAGAGGGTAATGCATTTAATTCCTTTAAGTATAGTATGTGTGCATACTCTGCTTCGGAAGTACAAGGGAAAACTGATTTTCAAACTATTTCTGCTCTATTTCCAAATGTAGTGCTGGCAAGTTTATTAGTAAAACAAATGTTTTACTTCATAAATGTATTATATTTGCAAATTAAGTTCTGGCAAGTTCAAAGTTCCAATAAAATACAAATATTTGTGCAGTATGTTTCAGTTTTTGACTGCAAATGATGTCTTGAATGCATGTTCAGCGATAAAGTGAATTGTTCCGCCAGTGTCTTCAGAGGTTTTGTAGGGCTTGTTTATTGGAGGAGAAAGTTCTGTTGGAGATCACTGAGGAGAATGAGGGCCACTGATTGATAAAAATAAGAGGTGCCTTGTCATAATCTATGTGGAAAACACTGATAATGTTTTGTCTTGAGCTGATAGTGGCTGTAAGAAGTGCTGCCGCACTGCCCAGATGATCCAATGATTAGTGTGGTAGGCTAGTGTGTGTGTGTCATCTCCTATATCTTCTGCATGAGTCAATGAGCATACCCAATGGGGCAAACTAGTTGTTTCAACGTATAGTGACGTGGAATCAACGTGGAAAATACATTGGATTTGCAAAAAGTCATCAATGTAAACTTGTTTTGAGGGTGAAATTTCAACCACAGAATTGTCATCATGGTAACCAATTTTCAACATAGACAAACCTTGTATAAAATATATTCCATTTGTACCTTTGAAACAACGTCAGATCTTCAACTTTATATACACTATCAGAAAAAAACTATAGGCTGGGCTGCACCTATTACTGGAGAGTTGATCTATCTACAGTTATTAATTTAGTCTTCCATCCAGGGTTTTAACCAAGTCCAGCTTAGCTTTGATATTTGCACTGACTATTACCAATGTGCAATTATGATAATTATTATTGAGAGGTCTTTTAATAACTAAATATATTCACTGTTGCTATCGAAGGGTAGGTTTAACAGAGCAAATTAAATGTAACCATACTCTATAAGTCCTATATCATCAATGTTACTACACTGAACAAAAATATAAACGCAACATGTAAAGTGTTGGTCCCATGTATCATGAGCTGAAATAAAAGATAACAGAACTGTTCCATACACTTAAAAAGCTTGTTTCTCTCAAATGTTTGCACAAATTTGTTTACATCCCTGTTAGTGAGCATTTCACCTTTGCCAAGATAATCCATCCACCTGGCAGGTGTGGCATATCAAGAAGCTGATTAAACAGCATGATCATTACACAGGTGCACCTTGTGCTGTGGACAATAAAAGGCCACTCTAAAATGTGCAGTTTTGTCACACACAACAATGCCGTACATGTCTCAAGTTTTGAGGGAGCGTGCAATTGGCATGCTGACTGCAGGAATGTCCACCAGAGCTGTTGCCAGAAAATGTGGGTGAGCGGTTTGGTGGCGGTGGGGTTATGGTTATGATAAGCTACGGCCAATGAACACGTCTCCAACTAAACCAAAAATACAAGTTAAAGAATAGGATTAAGCCAGTGGCTCAGATTAAACTATCCAAGCCTTAGATACATCTCCTTTAAATGTTGATATTTGGTTGAGTTGTCAACCTAACACAATTCGATATGACTTTTGTAATAGAGTAAATAGCCTAAAGTTAAGGCTATCTTACAAACTAATGTAACAGTTTTTTTTCAACCTTAAAATGAGTAATACATCCATGGTCACATTTTGAGGTTACTGTAACTATAAAAGTCTTATTATGTAATCATAGAAAGTGTGCATGTTCAAGATAGCATGCAAAGGTCACAGGTCTGTGGAGATCTTCACAATATAAATATCTGTGCAGAACCTCATACAGCATTGATCACTTGCACTATGTATTTTTAATGTAATCTCTACAATCCAGGTAATCTGGTTGCACTGCTAGTTGAAGCACAGCGATAACATATTAAGTTGTTGTATAAATACAAAATATCTGACATTGTATTCCCATTTGAACTTTATTGTGCTTTTAAATGATAACACATTTAGATGACAACTAAACCAAAAATCAGACATTGTTATTCAATTGGAATTTGGTTGTCCTTTTAGATGATTGAAGCATAGTGATAACACATTGGGAATTTAACAAACTTCTGGCTGTCTTTTTGAGTGGGTGAATAAAGGTTGAAATCTCATTGATCAACGTCTCAACCAAAAATGTACCTAATTTCCATGTTGAATTGATGTGGTGTGCCCAGTGGGTAGTCTCCTCTGACTCTATAGCCTACTGTCCTGGACAACTTTTTATGTACACTTCCTGATGTATAAATAGCCTGCAAAATAGCATGCAACCACAAGGCACCCTCATTAAATAATAATGTTATAATAATAGCTAAATATAGCTAAAAAGGGCTTTCTGTAAATGATGAAGTATTATCCTGTGATAATTTTAGCAGCCTAAAGACAATTGTCTGTATAGTGCCTCATTGACTATACTGCCATAGAAGGATGTGGTTATGGTGTGAAACGAATGCCTTCTTGAACCCCGCACCTACCGCTGTCCATATCCGAGCATCCGAACTGTGCCAGTGCTGCGCTCTAGTGGAGGCCTGGGTTTATAATGGGCAGAATAGAACTACCGTTATGCGCAGGTCTGGTACAGTTCCAACGCTCACCAGCGGCTCCTCAGGAAGTTGTGGTTTGACTGTATACGGAGATCTCCCCTAACCTACGATTTGAAGCTGTGAGGGTTTTACGCGCGTCTCATAGACCCGCATCAGGCCTATGTCACTACCGGGTGGAAACTGCCGTGTACTTCACTCGTTTGCAGGGCCGCATTTACTTGACAGAATTTCTGCTGCGGCAAGCTCCACCTCTATCGGAGGCAATTATAAACCATGGGCGCTGTGATTGGTCGTAGGTCCTGTCACTCATCACTTACACATAACAGTGGCTACGGAGAGGGCGCGTTCAACTAAGAAAATTATTAGGTCATTTGAATAACTGTAGCGAGCGAGCTCATGGCTACAATGAATCTGAAAAAATGAAACCGACGAAATGAATTAACGGATGATTTAGATGGGGGCAAAGTCGAACCAAGGAGGCAGGCGAATTTGATATAATCCTACTGGAGGAAGGGCAGTTCGCTGAAACCCTGGTGTGTGTGTGTGTGCCAACGCACAAGTAAAAGCCAGAGAGCGGTGGAAGGCTTTGCTAAGCCGATCAAGGTGGAATTGTAGACTACAAAACGGGTTCCACGTCCGGTGTAATACGCACATTATTGTGATTGTGGGGTACGTGAAACAAGGTATGTCAAAGAAGAACACTCGCAACACTTGTCATTTCTATTTCCCTCAATGGTCTGGTTTGCGGCTCCATTATTATTTAGTAGCCAATTGAGGTCTGAATAGCGCAGGCTTCACCAATTGTCCTTTAACAACCTTGCCAGTGTATGGAAGCCTGTGTTTGAATGGACCAGGTTTGAACTGTTGGACGATTCTATTCCGTTATGTAGAGCACCCTAATATTATACAGCTGTCTGTCAGTGCCAAGAGGGCGTGTGGCCGACAACGGGCTACAGTCAGCAGCGTTGACACACTAAATTGAGAGGCTACAGAATAGCCACCACCGCTCCATTCTAGTGTGTCTTTCGTTGCGCACTATAGCGACGCATACAACCTTGCTGATGTTGCTATCACCTTATCATAAATCGATCGACACCACGGACGTTCGATCAAATGTAGATGATTGAAACCTTTTCGAGATGTAACGGTCGCGCACATGGCATAGCTGCTGGTGTTGGTCGAGTCTTTTTCATTTCCCATCAGCAGTGAGCCTGCCTCTCTCTCTGTCCCTACTACCGCAGTACTGCTGCTGTGATGCTACGCGCGTTACATTTCCGGGATGTAGGCTACATTTATAGATCATCTATAGATGCTCAGGCTGCCAAACATTCTCATTTTTCCAGGCCCCTGCGTATTTTTGTGATGTTGGATGATGATTTATAGCCTAAATAGGAATATTATTTCATCGCAGCAATGTTTAATCATTTTCTGTGGGCCATAACCTATGTATGTAGCCTATTGCCATGCTGGCCAGAGGGTGGAATTTCCCTTGATGATGAGCACTTTGACACACGCGATAATTTGTTATCATATCATGCTGCCGCCTCATAACAGAAAATATTGGAAATAAGAATCATGTGTTCTTGTTGACACCGATTGCATAGATACCAGCGTCAGATAAACGTTCCTATCTCATTAGCACAATTCGTCCAGGGTAGGGGAGGGAATGGCCGGCAGGGATGGAAATGAAATGAAAGGCACTAGCCATATCAGGTAGCAATGAGAGGGACAACAAATTATTGCTACCGGGGTGTCCTCTGCCCTCTGGCTCTGTGCTGGTTCTGATCTGTATGTCCAACAGTAAATAATACATTGTAATGTCATCTGTGAGCCCAAGCTTCTGCTGTAAATGGACAGGATGTGTAGACAAAATTATAAGAAACAACATTTCTCACCTGTAGCCCACTGCATACTGACATGACACTAATGGCCCATAGCCAATTTTATAATGATTTGATTCCAAAATATGTGATAGGCAGAGACACCTTTGGCCTAGTTTTTACATCAATATGGTACCTGGCCAGGAGAGCCCCTGTGGTCAGGAAATTCCCAAACTGGACCTTGCAAAGAAAGACAAGTCAAATCAAAATCTAATTTGATTGGTTACATGCGCCGAATACAACAGGTGAAGTGCTTACTTACGAGCCCATTCCCAACAGTGCAGAGTTAAAAAGTAAGACAAATATTTGCTAAATATAAAAGGAAATAGTAACACAATAAAAACAATAACGAGGCTATATACAAGGAGTACCAGTAACGAGTCAATGTACAGGGGTACGAGGTAGTTGAGGTAATTGAGGTAATACAGTATGTACATGTGGGTACAGTTAAAAGTGACTAGGCTATCTGGATATATAATAAACAGAGTAACAGCAGTGTATGTGAAGTGTGAAAGTGTGTCTATGTGTGAGTGTGTGTGGCGTCAATATGCATGTGTGTGTGTTTTGTGTGTGTGAGAGTATGTAGTGTGTGTGTTGGAGTGTCAGTGTAGTAGGTGTGAGTGTGTGCGTAGAGTCTAGGGAGCAAGGGAGTCAGTGAAAAACAATTAAGATAATAAAATAATAGTGGGGTTCAATGTAAATTGTCTGGATAGCCATTTGATTAACTGTTCAGCAGTCTTACGGCTTGGGTGTAGAAGCTGTTCAGGTGCCTTTTGGTCACAGACTTGGTGCTCCAGTACCACTTGCTGTGCGGTAGCAAAGAGAACAGTCTATGATTTGGGTGGCTGGAGTCTTTGGCAATTTTTAGGGCCTTCCTCTGACACCGCCTGGTACAGAGGTCCTGAATAGCAGGGAGTTCGGCCCCAGTGAAGTACATTTGTTACATTTGTGTCATTTAGCAGACACTCTTATCCAGAGCGACTTACAGTTAGTGAGTGCATACATAATTTTTTTTTTTTTTCATACTGGCCCCCCGTGGGAATCGAACCCACAACCCTGGCGTTGCAAACGCCATGCTCTACCAACTGAGCTACATCCCTGCCGGCCATTCCCTCCCCTACCCTGGACGATGCTGGGCCAATTGTGCACTGCCCCATGGGTCTCCCGGTCGCGGCCGGCTACGACAGAGCCTGGATAGTACTGGGCCATACGCACTACCCTCTGTAGCACCTTGCGGTTGGATGCCGAGCAGTTGCCATACCAAGCGATGATGCAGCCAGTCAAGATGCTCTCAATGGTGCAGCTGTAGAACTCTGAGGATCTGAGGGCCCATGTCAAATCTTTTCAGCCTCCTGAGAGGGAAGAGGCGTTTTCGTGCCCTCTTCACGACTGCGTTGGTGTGTTTGGACCATGATAGGTCCTTAGTGATGTGGACACCGAGGAACTTGAAGCTCTCGACCAAAGGACACCTTGCGTTTTGAAAGGCTGTGAGGAAAAAACCTGTTATAAAGCATTATTATAAATGTTACAAAGCATAAACTAGACCTTTACTTTCATTTACTTGTACTTTAGCATAGGGCCTATCCATAATGTAATGTAGTGTAGGTCTAAATCTGGAAGTTATAAATAAATAGGAAAAACATTTAAAGGGGAAAAGGTATGTGGAATACAGAGAACCTCTAAGAGATTTAGAACAGAGAAAGTTTGAGGCCCCTCTCCTCTGATCGAGAAAAGCCTGAATCTACTAGATTTGCTGACATCAGCAACATCACCACCAAGACCCCACCATACCTAGCTGTGAATGCTGCTCAGGAAAGGCTCGGAGGCAGCGAATGTCAAATGCTGTGTTTTCAGTCGCCTTCCTTATCTAGATAGTCCTATCTGACGACACTCACGTAGTGACAAAGGCAAGACTGTAGGCAGGGTGTAGGCCTATGCACAGTTACACTTGACATATCACTAATTCAGTAGACGCTCCTATCCAGAGAGACTTTTAAAAAGTGCATTCAGCTAAGGAAGGTGAGACTACCACAACCACACACCACAGGTTCATTGCAAGTGCAACCTCTGTGCTAGAATATAATGAAGTACAAGTAAATGAAAGTAAAGGTCTAGTTTATGCTTTGTAACATTTATAAAAATGCTTTATAACATGTTTTTTCCTCATAGCCTTTCAAAAAATCAAGGTGTCCTTTGCAATATGATAGGCAAATGCCCTCTCATCACATCACGGACTGTACAGTAGCTTGTGTTCAGAAAATGGGACCATTGATTTAAGCACTTATAAAATATTATTGAAAATGGATAGAATGTGTTGACAATGTGACTTGTGTTTCCTTCTCTCCAGGATGATGCGCCTGGCCTGCTGCACTGTTCTGCTCTTCTTGCTCCGTCTCCTGGTGGGCCTGCCCTGGTTCCAGGTCCTCCCCTCCATCCTAATCTTCTACCTGGGCTCTGGAGGCTGGAAGTTCATACATATTTTTGCCAAGACCATCGGCAGAGACATACAGTGAGTGGGAGTATAGTGTGGGCTGTGGTGTGTGTACCTGTCTGCAAGTAAATGGGTTTGTTTTTGAAGTCACTCAGAAGCATGTTTTATGGAAACATGTTAGTCAGTCCTCCTCAGTTTTAAGACCTTCAAACAACTGATAATTTCACCATGGCTAAATAGTTGTCGAATTGTCTCCAACAAGAAAAGCAGCATATTCCTGTAAGACAAGCTAAAGTGTGTGACGGGGGGAGTGTTGAGGACTCCTGAGGTTTCTCTGTGTTGTGAGTTCACAGCTAGCTCGACAAGACCATTGGCAGACACCTGAAGTGAGTAGGGGGTTAGGGGTGTGTGGGGGATGGGGAGGGTGTATGTGTGTCTTACGTTCCCCAGCAAGAAAACCAAAAATTTTCGCTCAAACAGAAAAGGGAACTAACAAAGAGTCACTGACAACCAAAACTAAATGGGGGGTTTTAAGAAGGGTTCTGAAAGACACTGAAAGTTGACTAGCAACAACAACTGGGACCTAAAAGACACCCACCCTGAGCGCCCACTAAATTTGCCCAAGAACAGGCAGACAAAATGAAAACCCCCCCAGACCAAACTAAAAGACAGGAAGCAAACCACACAGTGGAGCAAAATGAAAACAGCAAGATCTGACAAAGGATTGTTCTTTTAGAAATCAAATAGTGAGAGCCAACTAAAGGTGTTAACCCTCCACATCTCTCAACACAACTGGAGCACTGGGCCAGCCGCTCTTAAATATCACCTGGGACAGCACAGGTGAAACACCTTCCCACTAACAAGATGGCAAACCAGCACAGATGCAACACATACTGACTAATGAGGTGACACCAATCGGTGCGTCCCACTTGCTAACGTCCAACTTCGAAATATAAATCGAAAAACCAAAGCCTGTAACAGTGTGTGTGTGTGTGTGTGTGTGTGTCTACATGTCTGTGTGTCTGTGAGTGAATGAGTGAGTGAGTGAATTCCCTCTTGGTCTAGTGGGGCTTAGTGGTCAAGACGTTGGCTTCTCCCATGAAAGACCCGGGTTGTAATCCCGCCGTGACGTGTGTCTTGTGTTTTTCGTGTGCACCTGTCTGCATGCAAGTCAATTCGTTTGTTGTTGAAGTCAGAGAAGCACATTTACAGAATGCACGTGAGTCAATGCTCCTAGAACAAGTTTACAGCTTTGCACAACAGATTTTTTTAAACAACAAATACCTTCATCATGACTAGGACTAGGAGTGTAAATGTCTCCAACAAGAAAAGTATCATATTCCTGTAAGACAAGCTAAAGTGTGTGACAGAGGGGAGAGTTGAGGAGTTAATCAGGTCAGGTATGGAGGAATATTTCAGAGAGAACAGAGACAAAGCACAGACAAACGAGAGAGACAGGTGCTGAGGTTTATCCGTGTTATAAGCCGTTCACCATGGTGACATGTACAGCCACTGCCCCTTGCACCCAAGTAACCTTTCAATGTTTGCAGATTTGAAGGGGTTGGAATGGTGTAGTGGTGTTGACCTTACAGAACTGCAAACATTGAAGGGTTAGGGGAAGGGGAATCACACTGCTGAGCCAAACCGAGCCGAGCTGAGCTGAGTTGTTCTACTCTAGCCTGGTTATGCATCCACCGTGGTTCAGACAGGAAACACCTTGTATTGTATTCATTTAACCATTTATTACAAGATTACAATACATGCAGTACATTAGTATTGGCATCATGTAAGATATCATAATAACAGGCAGAAAACAGAAAACAAGGTACGCTATACCAATCCCCCTGATCGAAACAAAAGCAGAGCCCAAACAGGTGGATGTGGGGTGGGTGGTGGGAAAGCAGAAAACAGACAAGCATAGCGAGTAACGCATGTTACAGCATTAGCATGTCACCAAGAACACCAGCGCATAGCTTGCGCACGGCAGCCATCAGAGAATGTGTGTGTAAACCTGGTTCACAAATAGACCGCCATTTAGTATTTAATACATTCCCCATTAGAGCTGCCAAGGCAGCCTCAACTCTTCCTGGGGTCCAAACAGGAATAAAACAACACATCACAATAAAACAATAGTCTACATCATAAATGCAACAAAACATCACACAATACATTGTGCACTATACACATTTACACTGCTCCACTATTACAAATGTACAATATTACAACGAGTGTGTGTGTATGTGTGTGTGTCTTCACAGACATGTTAAGGTAGGGTGATGAATCTAATTGGTGCAATATCAGCTGATGCAACACTTGTGTCGTGTTTCCTGTATGAACCAGTTGCGCTTTATTTCAGACAGGAAACACCACATATTAGTTTAACCATTTATTAGAAGATTCAAATACATGCCGCAACATTAGCATTGGCGTTCGGCTCTGCTCCTTCAGGGTAGCTCACTGCAAGCGTACATGTAAGATCATCATGTAAGATATAATAATAATAACAGGCAGAGATCAAGGTATGCTATACCAATCGCCAAAACAGACAATGAAATATGTGTACACAATTAAGAGCTTTAAGATCACCTACATCATCTATGTAATTTGATTGATACTGCATACTGTACAGTGCATTCGGAAAGTATTCAGACCCCTTGACTTTTTCCACATTTTGTTACGTTACAGCCTTATTCTAAAATGGATGAAATTATTTTTTTCCCTCATCAATCTACACACAATACCCCATAATGACAAAGTGAAAACAGGTTTTTAGAAATGTCTGCAAATGTATTAAAAATAAAAAACAGAAATACCTTATTTACATAAGTATTCAGACCCTTTGCTATGAGACTCGAAATTGAGCTCAGGTGCATACTGTTTCCAGTGATCATCATTGAAATTGGTTCTACAACTTGATTGGAGTCCACCTGTGGTAAATTCAATTGATTGGACATGATTTGGAAAGGCACACACCTGTCTATATAAGGTCCCACAGTTGACAGTGCATGTCAGTGCATGTCAGAGCAAGGAACAAGGAATTGTCCGTAGAGCTCCGAGACAGGATTGTGTCGAGGCACAGATCTGGGAAAGGGTACCAAAACATTTCTGCAGCATTGAAGGTCCCCAAGAACACAGTGGCCTCCATCATTCTTAAATGGAAGAAGTTTGGAACCACCAAGACTCTTCCTAGAGCTGGCCGCCCGGCCAAACTGAGCATTCGGGTGAGTAGGGTCTTGGTCAAGGAGGTGACCAAGAACCCGATGGTCACTCTGACAGAGCTCCAGAGTTCCTCTGTGGAGATGGGAGAATGTATTACATTGTTTCAATTCACAATACCCCATAATAACAAAGCAAAAACAGGTTTGCAGAAATGTTTGCAAATGTATAAATAATAAAAACAGAACTATCACATTTACATAAGTATTCAGACCCTTTACTCAGTACTTTGTTGAAGCACCTTCGGCAGCGATTACAGCCTTGAGTCTTCTTAGGTATGACGCTACAAGCTTGGCACACCTGTATTTGGGGAGTTAGGGTTTCTTCTCTGCAGATCCTCTCAAGCTCTGTCAGGTTGGATGGAGAGCGTTGCTGCACAGCTATTTTCAGATCTCTCCAGAGATATTCGATCGGGTTCAAGTCCGGGCTCTGACTGAGCCACTCAAGGACATTCAGAGACTTGTCCCGAAGCCACTCCTGCGTCGTCTTGGCTGTGTGCTTAGGGTCGTTGTCCTGTTGGAAGGTGAGCCTTTGCCCCAGTCTGAAGTCCTGAGTGCTCTGGAGCAGGTTTTCATCAAGGATCTCCCTGTACTTTGCTCCGTTCATCTTTCCCTCAGTCCTGACTAGTCTTCCAGTCCCTGCTGCTGAAAAACATCCCCACAGCATGATGCTGCCACCACCATGCTTCACCGTAGGAATGGTGCCTGGTTTCCTCTAGACGTGACACTTGGCATTTAGGCCAAAGAGTTCAATCTTGGTTTCATCAGACCAGAGAATCTTGTTTCTCATTGTCTGAGAGTCCTTTAGGTGCCTTTTGGCAAACTCCAAGCAGGCTGTCATGTGCATTTTACTGAGGAGTGGCTTCAGTCTGTCCACTCTACCATAAAGGCCTGATTGGTGGTGCTGCAGAGATGGTTGTCCTTCTGGAAGGTTCTCCCATCTCCACAGAGGAACTCTGGAGCTCTGTCAGAGTGACCAAGGCCCTTCTCGCCTGATTGCTCAGTTTGGCCGGGCAACTAGCTCTAGGAATAGTCTTGGTGGTTCCAAACTTCTTCCGTTTAAGAATGTGTTCTTGAGGACCTTCAATACTGCAGAAATGTTTTGGTATAAATACGGTATTTCTGTGTATTCTTTAATTATATACATTTGCAAAAATGTCTAAAAACCTGTTTTCGCTGTGTCATTATGGGGTATTGTGTGTAGCTTGATGAGGAACATTTTGTATTTAATCAATTTTAGAACAAGGCTGTAACGTAACAAAATGTGGAAAAAGTGAAGGGGTCTAAATGCTTTCAGAATGCACTGTATGTGCATGAAGGCTGTCAAATGTGTACTGTAACAACGGTGTAGCCTGTGCTTTGGAGATAGGCCCCCATCCTCTTATTTTGATGCCAGATCACTTTTATGTGAGGCATATATTTATAGTCACATGCATTTAACGTATCTTACCTGTATATGGTCGCATCAGGTTAACCCTCAGAGGGAATGCCTCGTCTCACACAAAATACATATGGGCTTTGTGTTTGTGTCCCCCAGCAAGCACTCTGGCCTTGGTAGTGGCAGCTGGCCTGCAATGAGTTGGGAGCCGATCTTGCTTCGCAAGAAGATTCCCACATCTCCCTTCCGACCATATGCGCCCACGTCGATCATGGTGAAGTGGTATTTGCATTGCAGACAGCCATCAGGACCATTGAGAAAAAGCCCTTGTAGTTGTAGTACTCGCTGCCTAAGTTTGCCGGATCTCGGATCCGAATATGTTTTCCGTCGACAGCTCCTGCACAAAACGGATAATTCCAACGATCCCAAAACTGTCTGCTGATTCTTGCCCTGGTTTGCCACAGAGGGATAAGCAATAAAATCCTGTGAGTTCTCTCGTGCGAGATGTGAGGGGCAAGCCGCTGAAGCGAAATCTGGCAGCAGGCAACCGAAAGTATTGAAAATTACGAGCAAGGTATGGATCTGTATTGTATAACCTACAAACACCGCTTCCAGCTGGCAGTGATTCTAAATATTCTATATTCATTCAAATCCTCCTGCTGCAGGATTATTTTCCTCCTGTGACGAAACGGGTCAAATTAAGATCCCACATCTGTATAAACTAGGGCTGTCAAATGATTAAAAATTTTAATCAAATTAATCAGAATTTTCAGTGGATTAATCATGATTAATCACTATTTGCAATTACACCTGAATCCTAACCATTTTTTTTCTGAAATGCATACCAAAAGATAAATAAAGATATGATTTACTTGAGCCAAGACCTCTTTCCTTTTTTCTTTTTCGTTTTCATAGAGCTCGTGGATTTTCTTCATAACTGTGGCTCTTGACGGTGGCTTATAGAATGAGTCTTGAGACGCCACTTGCAAAACATCAAGGAAACCTGAGTCTTCTACAATGCTAATGGGTCTACAATCCTTTGCAATCCATTTTGCTATTGTGTTGGTCAAATTATCTGAGGTTGATTTTGTTAATTGCCTGCAAACATTCAGCGTGGTCTGGCGCAAACCACTTGCTGAATCTGACGGCCCAGCAAACGCATGTTTGGCGTTGACATGGTACTTCAAGCTTGAACAGCTCCGGTGAAATTGAAACTCCTTCTTACAAATCTTGCAAATAACCTTGTACTTGTTAACTGTACCATCATCATTCTTTTTATATTTGAATCCGTCAATAGGCTCACCTTGCTCCATCTCGCCTCTAGCTCCCAACCACTTTCCTGACCTGAATAATTTGTCACACTGCGCATGCGTGAAATGCGTTAAAAAAATGGACGTAATTAACAGCAAACAACTAATTAACGTCGTTAACGCGCTATTTTTGACAGCCCTAGTATAAACTGAAAGCAGAGGAAGCCTTTGTCCGATCTAGGAAGAAATGGCAAGCGGAGGGTGAACAAAATTCATCATTGGGTTTTTTTCAGGTTAGAAAAATACCACTCTAAACATATTACCATTCAACAATTAAATATGAATTGTCTCATCACAGATTATCCAAAACTAATCTCCAGTTTTTGTTGCAACTGCTACAGGAATATATATATAGTTCTAAGTATTGTTGGGAGTCCTCAACTGTATTTTTTGATTCTCTGGGGGTGATATCCCTATTATAGTTGAAGAGATAATTTACTATATTGAACACCTTCAAATAATATGTCTGATGGGACTGATGGTACAGTATATCTGCTGAGTTTTACAAAACCTTTTCTCAACAGTTAGCCCCTTTTCTTTTGGAGCCTTTTTCTGAAAGCAATTAATGCTCTCCCTCCCAGTTTAACTCAAGGTCTGATTACATGAATCCCTAAACCAAAGAAAGTCTTGCTTCTCCTCGATGATCGGCGTCCAATCTGTCTGCTTAACAACGACTACAAAATATTAGCCTCTATATTTGCAAAAAGAATGATAGCAGAATTGGACTCAATTATAGAGGAGAGCCAGTCTGGCTTCATGAGGAATAGGCATATTCAGTGGGGAGAACAAGTATTTGATACACTGCCGATTTTGCAGGTTTTCCTACTTACAAAGCATGTAGAGGTCTGTAATTTTTATCATAGGTACACTTCAACTGTGAGAGACGGAATCTAAAACAAAAATCCAGAAAATCACATTGTATGATTTTTAAGTAATTAATTTGCATTTTATTGCATGACATACGTTTTTGATACATCAGAAAAGCAGAACTTAATATTTGGTAAAGAAACCTTTGTTTGCAATTACAGAGATCATATGTTTCCTGTAGGTCTTGACCAGGTTTGCACACACTGCAGCAGGGATTTTGGCCCACTCCTCCATACAGACCTTCTCCAGATCCTTCAGGTTTCGGGGCTGTCGCCGGGCAATACGGACTTTCAGCTCCCTCCAAAGATTTTCTATTGGGTTCAGGTCTGGAGACTGGCTAGGCCACTCCAGGACCTTGAGATGCTTCTTACGGAGCCACTCCTTAGTTGCCCTGGCTGTGTGTTTCGGGTCGTTGTCATGCTGGAAGACCCAGCCACGACCCATCTTCAATGCTCTTACTGAGGAGGTTGATGGCCAAGATCTCGCGATACATGGCCCCATCCATCCTCCCCTCAATACGGTGCAGTCGTCCTGTCCCCTTTGCAGAAAAGCATCCCCAAAGAATGATGTTTCCACCTCCATGCTTCACGGTTGGGATGGTGTTCTTGGGGTTGTACTCATCCTTCTTCTTCCTCCAAACACGGCGAGTGGAGTTTAGACCAAAAAGCTCTATTTTTGTCTCATCAGACCACATGACCTTCTCCCATTCCTCCTCTGGATCATCCAGATGGTCATTGGTAAACTTCAGACGGGCCTGGACATGCGCTGGCTTGAGCAGGGGGATCTTGCGTGCGCTGCAGGATTTTAATCCATGACGGCGTAGTGTGTTACTAATGGTTTTCTTTGAGACTGTGGTCCCAGCTCTCTTCAGGTCATTGACCAGGTCCTGCCGTGTAGTTCTGGGCTGATCCCTTACCTTCCTCATGATCATTGATGCCCCATGAGGTGAGATCTTGCATGGAGCCCCAGACCGAGGTTGATTGAACTTGATCTTGAACTTCTTCCATTTTCTAATAATTGCGCCAACAGTTGTTGCCTTCTCACCAAGCTGCTTGCCTATTGTCCTGTAGCCCATCCCAGCCTTGTGCAGGTCTACAATTTTATCCCTGATGTCCTTACACAGCTCTCTGGTCTTGGCCATTGTGGAGAGGATGGAGTCTGTTTGATTGAGTGTGTGGACAGGTGTCTTTTATACAGGTAACGAGTTCAAACAGGTGCAGTTAATACAGGTAATGTGTGGAGAACAGGAGGGCTTCTTAAAGAAAAACTAACAGGTCTGTGAGAGCCGGAATTCTTACTGGTTGGTAGGTGATCAAATACTTATGTCATGCAATAAAATGCAAATTAATTATTTAAAAATCATACAATGTGATTTTCTGGACTTTTGTTTTAGATTCCGTCTCTCACATTTGAAGTGTACCTATGATAAAAATTACAGACCTCTACATGCTTTGTAAGTAGGAAAACCTGCAAAATTGGCAGTGTATCAAATACTTGTTCTCCCCACTGTATCTAATAATATCAGACTGGTGTTAGACCTTATTGGCTCTTCTGATCTAATCTTTGAAGATAGTTTTATTGTTTTCTTAGACTTTTATATAGCCTTCGATACAGGAGCATGAATATCTATTTCACATTTGGTTTTGGGGAATTCTTTTGTAGGGCTATTAAAACTCTATATGAATGAGAACAGTTCCATTAAATTAAAGCATGGCACATCTACATCTACAAATTTACTATGGCTAACCCTGTAAAACAACACATTTCACTGCACCGATCTGCTGTATGTGACAATAAATAAAACATCTCTTAGATTTGATTTGACAAGAGAAATTAGGCAAGGTTGCCCAATCTCGCCTTATCTCTTCCTGCTTGCAACCCAACATCTTACAAGTTTGATTAAATCCAGCGATATACAGTACAATAATAATAGTTTTAAGGTAAATTGGGCTAAACATTTCTTAAATAATACAACTTCAACTTGGAATTTCATCCCTCATATCTTCTTCCGTTTTGGTGGCTTCAATTTTATTTTGCTTTGTAACTACAACATTGATGAGATTCCTACAAAATGATCTGCTTTTCATAGACAAGTGTTCTTATCGTGGTCATTAATATATAAAAATAATTTTCCCCCGCATAGGTATTTCATTTGGAACAATAAGGATATTTTGTATAGAAAATACTTGCTCCCACAGAACAATAATAGATCTATACGTGCTTTATTTCAAAGGAATGTTGTATCTATTCCTTATGTCACAACTTACTGGAATACATTTGTCAATAATATCTGTTGGAAAAAGGTTTGATTATTACCACACAAATACCTGCTTGTTAACAAGGTCAAAGAGGTCTCTTTTAGAATTATACATAAGTACACCCTGCGAATCATTACCTGAAGAAACTCAAAAAAGACATTAACTGTACTTGTTGTGATGAAAATCCAGAAACAGTTTTGCATTTATTTTGGCATTGTCTACATGTAAAGAGATTAAGGCAAGATATTTGTAGATTTATAATTGATGATATTCTTGATGACTTTTGTTTATTATGGGAGAATGTACTGCTCGGTTTCCTTAACTATAATAAGGATAAAGATTTTTTTTTTGCTAATGCCAAAATGTAATATTCATAAAAGTAAATTCACTAATAAAAAACACTCTTCCTTGTTTTTTATAAGGAGTTCGAGCAGTATGTTAAAGATTTGCTCACCGAAATTACAAAATGACAAACAAAATTGGTTTCATGCTTTGGTTTAGTTAATTGAAAACAATCACAGTAAGGTACCCAGAAATTATTTTATATTGAGATAAAAATGGCTGCATTGGAACTTTGATGAGAATTCTAGAATTCTAGAAATTTCTCAATTTTAACTTTAATACCAGACGCAAAAAGGAGATAGATTGTGTTGCTTCATCACTATGTGCACCACGTCCACTGCTAAATAGTCAGGAAAAAACATGCAGAACAACATCAGGGTCGTGTTCATTAGGTCCAGTTTACCACAATGTCTCAACATTCAGATTAATATTGTTGTTCTCTTTAGACTCTTAGCACCTTTGAGCTGTTGTTGTTGGTGATGTTGTTGTTGTCGTTGTATTCTCACCCTATCCTTCAACTCCTTCTCCCCCACAGTGCGGCAGGTGTCCTCATCAAGGTGAAATGGAATGTCAAGCATCACCTGCGTGAACGGAATACCCTCCCGAAGATCTTCGCAGAGACCGTGCGTCGCCATGGGGACAAGACAGCACTCATCTTTGAAGGCACCGGTGAGAAGTGGTCCTTCCGGCAGCTGGACGAGTACTCCAACCGCGTGGCCAACCTGCTGCTCCAGAGGGGCTTCGTGGAAGGGGATGTGGTGGCTCTCTTCATGGAGAGCCGGTCCCAGTATGTCGGCCTCTGGCTGGGCATGGCCAAGATTGGTGTGGAGGCGGCCCTGATCAACTTCAACCTGAGGCTGGAGGCTTTGGTGCACTGTGTCACCATTTCCAACGCCAAGGCTGTGGTGTTCGGCAGCGAGCTGACTGAGGGTGAGAAAAGGGGGGGAGGGGGGGGTGGAGACTAGGTGAGGGAGTGGGTGGAGGGAGTTGGTGGATGGAGGGAGGGAGGGAGTGGGTGGAGGATGGGATAGAAGAGTGGACGGAGGGAGTAGACGGAGTGATTGGTTGAGTGACAGGTTGCTGGAAGCAGGGCCGCCAGAAAACGTGTGGCGAGTCTGCATTTCTCACAAAACTTTTTATTTAGTTTAATCAAATATATTGACACAAAGCATATAAAAGAGGGGCAAAGTACTGCTTTTTTTAAAACTGATTTGTCTCATGGTTCATCAACTCGCGCACAATTTATCTGTCCTTCACATCGGAGTGTTGCTGCAGGCTCTTTGCATGCCTTGACCAATCAGATTCACGAAAATTGCAGTTAGCGTGGGCCGGGCACAACGCACAAAGCTCAAGGGGCGCTCTCCACTTTCCTCCATTATTTATTTAGCATGCCTGATAACACATCACTCCCGACCACAGGGGGCTGCTGAGGGGAGGACGGCTCATAATAATGGCTGGAATGGAGTGAATGGAAACCATGTGTTTAAAACCATTCCGTTTATGTCGTTGCAGACATTACTATGAGCCCGTTCTCCCCAATTAAGGTGCCACCAGCCGCCTGTGCTCCCAACAGACACAAGCAAAAACTCTGAGTAAATGTTTTATTAGACCTACAGTTGCATAGGGCAGGACTACATGATGCAAACTTGTGTAAAGCAAGCCCCCCCCCCCCCCTTATAAAATAGAATTAATATGAACAAGTACAAGGTTGCTGCAGTTTGACAGGGTTTTCATCCTCCCCAAGGCCAGAAGTTTTTCCAGGAGTTTTTTAAACCATGTGACCTGATTAGAAAAACTGTGGTCCCATCATAGCCCATATTAATAATTTTTACAGCAGATTAATCACATCATACCATATAAGGTCCAGAGTTTTACCTGGTTAGCTTACCAGATCAGAAAAAACTACAGGCCCCAGAATTGTTTTTTTTGCCACACCACTCTGGGACCTGTGGTGCCACCTCTGGCTGGAAGTCTTTGTTTTAAGTAAATTGTATACGCTACGGGCCGGTTTTCCAGACATACAGTGCCTTCAGAAAGTATTCACCCTTTGACTTTTTCCACATTTTGTTACATTACATCCTTATTCTAAAATTGATTAATAGTTTTTTTCCCTAGTCCATCTACACACAATACCCTATAATGACAACGCAAAAACAGGTTTTAGAAATGTATCACATTTACATAAGTATTCAGACCCTTTACTCAGTACTTTGTTGAAGCACCTTTGGCAGCGATTACAGCATCGAGTCTTCTTGGTTATGACGCTACAAGCTTGGCACAACTGTATTTGGGGAGTTTCTCCCATTCTTCTCTGCAGATCCTCTCAAGCTCTGTCTGGTTGGATGGGGAGCGTTGCTGACAGCTATTTTCAGGTCTCTCCAGAGATGTTCGATCGGGTTCAAGTCCGGGCTCTGGCTGGGCCACTCAAGGACATTCAGAGACTTATTCCGAAGCCACTCCTGCATTGTCTTGGCTGTGTGCTTAGGGTCATTGTCCTGTTGGAAGGTGAACCCTCGCCCCAGTCTGAGGTCCTGAGCACTCTGGAGCAGGTTTTCATCAAGGATCTCTCTGTACTTTGCCCTGTTCATCTTTGCCTCGATCCTGACTAGTCTCCCAGTCCCTGCTGCTGAAAAACATCCCCACAGCATGAAGCTGCCACCACCATGCTTCACCGTAGGGATGGTGCCAGGTTTCCTCCAGATGTGACGCTTGGCATTCAGGCCAAAGAGTTCAATCTTAGTTTCATCAGACCAGAGAATCTTGTTTCTCATGGTCTGAGATTCTTTAGGTGACTTTTGGCAAACACCAAGCCAGCTGTCATGTGCCTTTTACTGAGGAGTGGGTTCCGTCTTGCCACTCTACCATAAAGGCCTGATTGGTGGCATGCTGCAGAGATGGTTGTCTTTCTGGAAGGTTCTCCCATCTCCACAGAGGAACTCTGGAGCTCTGTCAGAGTGACCAAGGCCCTTCTCGGCTGATTGCTCAGTTTGGCCAGGCGGCCAGCTCTAGGAAGAGTATTGGTGGTTCCAAACTTCTTCCTTTTAAGAATGATGGAGGCCACTGTGTTCTTGGGGACCTTCAATGCTGCAGACATTTTTTTCTACCCTTCCCCAGATCTGTGCTTCGACACAATCCTGTCTCGGAGCGCTACGGACAATTCCTTCGACCTCATGACTTGGTTTTTGCTCTGACATGCACTGTCAATGGTGGGACCTTATATAGACAGTTGTGTGCCTTTCCAAATCATGCCCAATCAATTGAATTTACCACAGGTGGACTCCAATCAAGTTGTAGAACCATCTCAAGGGTGATCAATGGAAACAGGATGCACCTGAGCTCAATTTCGAGTCTCATAGCAAAGGGTCTGAATAATATTTTTTTTTTCAAAATATTCTAAAAACCTTTTTTCGCATTGTCATTATGGGGTATTGTGTGTAGATTGCTGAGGATTTTTAAAAATGGAATCCATTTTAGAACAAGGCTGTAACGTAACAAAATGTGGGAAAAGTCAAGTCTGAATACTTTCCGATGGCACTGTAGATTAAGCCTAGTCCCTAGACTAAAAAGCATGTTCAATAAAGATTCTCCATTGAAAGTGCTTTTTAGTCCAAGACTAGGCTTGATCTGGGTCTGGGAAACTGACACAGAATGTTCCTTAAATGTGCAGTGATAGTTTCAACCTTGACTTGTAACTTCAAGGAGAATTTCACTATTTAGGACCCTAATCTGTATTCTTTATGTATATGGTTTGTTATAATATATTTTGGAGAAACTTACCCCACCAGCAATTGACTTCCTGAGCCTCATTCTGGAGTTCCAGGGCATCCAAAAACATGAATGAAGGCTAAAAAAAAAACCATTCAAGGGTTTTTCTTTTTTTTAAACTATTTTCTACATTGTAGAATAATAGTGAAGACTTCAAAACTATGAAATAAATAATAATAATATAATATGCCATTTAGCAGACGCTTTTATCCAAAGCAACTTACAGTAATGTGTGCATACATTTTTACGTATGGGTGGTCCCGGGGATCGAACCCACTACCCTGGCGTTACAAGCGCCATGCTCTACCAATTGAGCTACAGAGGACCACATAACATGATGCAGCCACCACTCTTATTATTTTCTATATATCCTGATGCCTAGTAACTTTACCCTGCTTTCATGTACATACAGTGGGGGAAAAAAGTATTTAGTCAGCCACCAATTGTGCAAGTTCTCCCACTTAAAAAGATGAGAGAGGCCTGTAATTTTCATCATAGGTACACGTCAACTATAACAGACAAAATGAGATTTTTTTTCCCAGAAAATCACATTGTAGGATTTGTTATGAATTTATTTGCAAATTATGGTGGAAAATAAGTATTTGGTCAATAACAAAAGTTTCTCAATACTTTGTTATATACCCTTTGTTGGCAATGACACAGGTCAAACGTTTTCTGTAAGTCTTCACAAGGTTTTCACACACTGTTGCTGGTATTTTGGCCCATTCCTCCATGCAGATCTCCTCTAGAGCAGTGATGTTTTGGGGCTGTCGCTGGGCAACACGGACTTTCAACTCCCTCCAAAGATTTTCTATGGGGTTGAGATCTGGAGACTGGCTAGGCCACTCCAGGACCTTGAAATGCTTCTTACGAAGCCACCCCTTCGTTGCCTGGGCGGTGTGTTTGGGATCATTGTCATGCTGAAAGACCCAGCCACGTTTCATCTTCAATGCCCTTGCTGATGGAAGGAGGTTTTCACTCAAAATCTCACGATACATGGCCCCATTCATTCTTTCCTTTACACGGATCAGTCGTCCTGGTCCCTTTGCAGAAAAACAGCCCCAAAGCATGATGTTTCCACCCCCATGCTTCACAGTAGGTATGGTGTTCTTTGGATGCAACTCAGCATTCTTTGTCCTCCAAACACGATGAGTTGAGTTTTTACCAAAAAGTTATATTTTGGTTTCATCTGACCATATGACATTCTCCCAATCCTCTTCTGGATCATCCAAATGCACTCTAGCAAACTTCAGACGGGCCTGGACATGTACTGGCTTAAACAGGGTGACACGTCTGGCACTGCAGGATTTGAGTCCCTGGCGGCGTAGTGTGTTACTGATGGTAGGCTTTGTTACTTTGGTCCCAGCTCTCTGCAGGTCATTCACTAGGTCCCCCCGTGTGGTTCTGGGATTTTTGCTCACTGTTCTTGTGATCATTTTGACCCCGCATGGAGCCCCAGATCGAGGGAGATTATCAGTGGTCTTGTATATCTTCCATTTCCTAATAATTGCTCCCACAGTTGATTTCTTCAAACCAAGCTGCTTACCTATTGCAGATTCAGTCTTCCCAGCCTGATGCAGGTCTAAAATTTTGTTTCTGGTGTCCTTTGACAGCTCTTTGGTCTTGGCCATAGTGGAGTTTGGAGTGTGACTGTTTGAGGTTGTGGACAGGTGCCTTTTATAATAACAAGTTCAAACAGGTGCCATTAATACAGGTAACGAGTGGAGGACAGAGGAGCCTCTTAAAGAAGAAGTTACAGGTCTGTGAGAGACAGAAATCTTGCTTGTTTGTAGGTGACAAAATACTTATTTTCCACCATAATGTGCAAATAAATTAATAAAAAATCCTACAATGTGATTTTCTGGATTTTTTTCCCTCAATTTGTTTGTCATAGTTGACGTGTACCTATGATGAAAATTACAGGCCTCTCTCATCTTTTTAAGTGGGAGAACTTGCACAATTGGTGGCTGACTAAATACTTTTTTCCCCCACTGTATCTACCTCAAATATCGTGTACCCCTGCACATTGATCTGGTACTGGTACTCCCTGTATATAGCTCAATTATTGTGTATTTTATTTTATTCCTCTTCTGTTACAATATATATTTTTTATCTGCATCGGTCTGTGGTCTCTTGGGAAGGGCTTGTAAGCAAGCATTTCACGGTAAAGTCTCTATACCTGTTGTATTCGGCGTGTGACAAATACAATTTGATTTGGTTCAGAAGCAGACTATCCAGTCCACAACAACGTGTCCTCTAGCTAGCTAATATTTTTTTATTTCAAACTACTACGCTTCCAACATGTCGGACTACGAATATGAGGAGGAAATGTTCTAATTTGCAGGCCAGCCTTATTTATTTGAACCGGAATACACAGATGAGGAGCTTCAACAGATGGAGGATGACAGAGAAAGGAGAGAGAGATGTTTAATCTATAATAAGAAGAGGAAGGACACATGACTATTGATTATATCAAGATGTTGGGTCCTGTTCAGACTAATGATGAAGCATACAGTATATATCATGTCTATCTTTATCCTTTGGTTTATGTCTTTAAGTAATTGGAAACCATGCATCCCTCTGCGTTTAAACATGCCAAATGCGGTCAGCATATTTTCCTGCTGAGAGAATGCAAACTGAGTAGAGGGATTTTATTTGTGTCTCTGTTTCTGTGAAATTAACTTTTAAGATCACTCTCTCCTGTCATTTCTCTCTCTCTCTCTCTCTCTCTCTCTCTCTCTCTCTCTCTCTCTCTCTCTCTCTCTCTCTCTCTCTCTCTCTCTCTCTCTCTCTCTCTCTCTCTCTCTCTCTATCTGTCTGTCTTTCCCTCCCCATCCCACCCTCCCTTCCTCCTCTCCCTCCGTCCTCCAGCCATGTGTGAGGTACACAGTTCCATGGGGAAGACAGTGCAGATGCTGTGTTCAGGGGACTGGGACCCCAAACGTGTTCCTGTGGGGACAGAGTGCCTGGAGCCTCTACTGGACGCTGCCCCCACCCACCTGCCCAGCCGCCCAGACCGCTGCTTCACAGGTCAGTCAATCAGTCACTCAAAAAATCCATCCAATCACACTCAGACAGTGAATAGGGAGCCAGACCTGGGTTCAAATAGTTTATTCTTACAAATACTTTGAGCTTTTGATTGAACCTGTCTGAAGTGCAGTGTTTTCACTTTTGGGACTATTCCATTGCTTCCATTGCACTAGGTAGGCAAGATCAATCAAGCCCATAGTTGTACTGGTTGTCCACTGTTTGCTATTGTATTTCTGTTATTTTGACAGTTTTTTCCTTATCTGTTTTTGTATGTGTTTATTGGTTTCTTGTCTCTGTCTTACAGATCGTCTGTTCTACATCTACACATCTGGGACCACTGGGATGCCCAAAGCTGCCATCGTGGTTCACAGCAGGTAGGCACTAAGGAGCTCCTCATCTATCTATCTATCTAACTATCGATCTATCGATCTATCGATCGATCGTGCCTCCAGAAAGTATTCCTACCCCTTGACTTATTCCACATTTTGTTGTGTTACAGCATGAATAAAAAAATATCTCACCCATCTACACACAATACCCCATAATGACAAAGTGAAAACATGTTTTTATAGATTTTAGCACATTTATTGGAAAATGAAATACAGCAATATCTCATTTACCTAAGTATTCACACCCTTGAGTCAATACTTTGTAGAAGCACATTTGGCAGTGATTACAGCTGTGTGTCTTTCTGGGTAAATCTCTAAGAGCTTTCCACACCTGGATTGTGCATAATTTGCCTACTATTATTTTCAAAATTCTACAAGCTCTGTCAAATTGGTTGTTGATCATTGCTAGACAACCATTTTCAGGTCTTGCTATAGATTTTCAAGTAGATTTAAGTCAAATCGGCCACTCAGGAACATTCACTGTCTTCTTGGTTAGCAACTCCAGTGTAGATTTGGCCTAGTGTTTTAGGTTATTGTCCTGCTGAAAGGTGAATTAATCTCCCAGTGTCTGGTGGAAAGCAGACTGAACCAGGTCTTCCTCTAGGATTTTGCCCGTGCTTAGCTCCGTTCCATTTCTTTTTTATCCTGAAAAACTCCCCAGTCCTTAACGATTACAAGCATACCCATAACATGATGCAGCCACCACTATGCTTGAAAATATGGAAAGTGGTACTCAACACTTTGTATTCAGGACAAAAAGTGAATTGCTTTGCCACATTGTTTGCAGTATTACTTTAGTGCCTTGTTGCAAACAGGATACATGTTTTGGAATATTTGTATTTTGTACAGGTTTCCTTCTTTTCACTCTGTCAATTAGGTTAGTATTGTGGAGCAGGTAGCTTAGTGGTTAAGAGCGTTGTGCCAGTAACCGAAAGGTCGCTGGTTCTAATCCCTGAGCCGACTAGGTGAAAAATCTGTTGATGTGCCCTTGAGCAAGGGACTTAACCCTAATTGCTCCTGTAAGTCGCTCTGGATAAGAGCGTCTGCTAAATGACAAATTTTTTAAAAAAATAAATGTAAAAAATGAGTAACTACAATGTTGTTGATCCATCCTCAGTTTTCTTCTATAACAGCCATTAAACTCTGTAACAGTTTTAAAGTCACCATTGGCCTCATGATGAAATCCCTGAGTGGTTTCCTTCCTCTCTGGCAACTGAGTTAGGAAGGACGCCTGTAGCTTTGTAGTGACTGCGTGTATTGATACACCATCCAAAGTGTAATGAATAACTTCACCATGC